TCTGCAGCGCCAGCAGACGGTCCACGACCATCATCATCGCGAACACGTCCAAGAGCTGCCCCAAAACCCCCTTCCTCGCGTGGCGCCAAACCGGACACGGTGCCCTCCAGCGCGCCTCGGTTTCCTTCCACCGGACCCGAACCGCCCGGACGCGTAAGTCTTGTCGCGGGCGCCTTCGCGGGGGAGCGAATACCGCTGCGGTCCGTCTGGGGCCGCGTCGACGACGGCGGCGTCGAAAAGTCCCCGGCCAAAAGTCGTCAACATTGCCCCAAAACGATGGGTTGCAGTACGAGGAGCTCGCGCAACATAATCTCGTTGAGCTGCCACCCCATACTATTTATTACCCCTTGCTTCGAACCGCGGGCTGCCGAGGCATGGCGAGCTTCGCGGGCTACGAGCCCGAGGACCGCGCGCGCGTCGAGGAGTGCGTGAGCAAGACGGACCCGGCGTCGGCGCCCTTCGCCCACTACAACTTGGGCTGCGCGAAGTACTACGACGACGACTTCGACGGCGCGCTCGAGATCTGGCGGAAGCTCGTCGCCGCGGACGTGGACCCGCTGCTCGTGGACCAGGCGACCTTCCAGATGGGCCGCGCCCTCGACGCCAAGGGCGACGCCGCGGGCGCCCTGGAGATCTACCGCGGCTTCGCGCGGAAGCACGCGGACGACGCGCTGGCGCAGTTCAACATGGGCGAGCTCCTGAGCCGCCTCGAGCAGTTCGACGAGGCGGAGACGGCCTACCTCAAGGCCGTCGAGTTCGACAAGAGCGACGGCGGCGACATCCGGAAGGACGCGCTCGTGAACCTCGCGGAGGACAAGAAGCTCGCCGGCGACGTCGCGGGCTGCGTCAGGACCATGCGCCGGGTTGTGGACGTCGACCCGGCGGACTACGACACGCGCCTCATGCTCGCGTCCGTGCTGCGCGGCGCCGGCGACGTCGACGGCGCGCTCGTCGAGGCGAAGACGGCCGCGGAGTTCCTCGACAGCGTCCGGCCCGTCGACGACGACGAGGCCGCGGCCTTCCAGGAGGCCAACGCCCTGGCCCAAAGCCTCATCCGCGAGCTCACGGCGCTCAAGGAGGGCCGGGAGGCCGGGCCCGCGTAACAACGACGCCTTCCAGGATGATGCGGTTGGTTACAAGTAGGGGTTAACTTGGTTTTCGGCGAGCGCCGCGAGGCACGCGAGGAGGCTGGCCCGGACGCCGAAGGCGTCCGTCGCGACGAGGGGCGGGAGCGGGTCGAAGGCCAGGAGCAGCCCGCGGAGCGTCGTCGGCCACCGCTTCGCGAAGGCCGCCAGCGCGGCGGACGGGCAGACCGCGTGGGGCCCCTCGTCGAGGCGGCGCGCCTCGGCGTCGCGCCACGCGACGAGCGCGGAGAAGCGCGGCGCGGCGTCGCGCGCGAGCGCCGCGAACTGCTTGTCGCGCGCGGCCTGCAATCGCGGCGACCGCGGCGCGCGCCAGAGGCAGAGCGTCGCGCGCTGCGACTTGCAGTACGCGGACGCGACCATGTCCGCCTCCTCGTCGCCGGCGGCCTCCCGCGGGCCGGGCGGCGGCGGCGGGCGCGGCGCGTCCCGGGCCGCGCCCCCCGGCGGCAGGCCGTAGTCGCGGAGCGGGTCGAAGTGCCGGAGCTCCCGGTTCAGGTAGGCCTCGAGGTCGACGAGGTGGCGCGCGTCGCAGACCGCGTACTCGAGTTGCGCCGGCGACAGCGGCCGCGACCGCCAGTCGCAGTTCTGGTACGCGCGCTTGAGACTCTCCAATTCGTCGCGCCGCGCCGTCGATATGACGCCGGCGCTCGCGTAGAGCGCGACCAAGCCCAGCGGCGCGCCCAACACGCGCGCGGCCTGTGTGGAAATCAACCAGTGAGCTGGGACGTCGGGGCCAAACTTCAGAAATCTCTCTAGCTCGCTCAAATCCTAGTCGATTCGGCTGATTTTTGGACGAATCGATTGCTCTCAGCGAGTTCTTGAAGCACGGCGGAAGAGCTTGCGTCGAAACGGTCGCATACGCGCACATTGAAGTCGCGTTGAAGATTTGATTTGCACACAGCGCGCGGCCTCTTGCGTGTCGAAGACGTTGACGACGAAGATGCCGAAGTCGCGCTGGAGCCGCGGGATGTCGACGCCCTGGCACGCGTGGAAGACCTTGCGGATGTTGGGATCCGCAAAGGCCGGGGCCAGGGCCCGCAGCTCGAAGCGGAGCGCCAAGGCGTCGACGACGTAGTCCACGTCGGCCGTCGAGATCTGGACGAGGCACCTGGGCAGCACAAGAGTGATTCAACGTCGCTTCAACGTGAGTGTTTCGCGCGCGCGCGTTCCAGAAAACACATCCACGCTTCGAGACCGTTCCGAGAGATGATCGCTCGTCCAAAAATCAGCCGAAACGAGCGGAAAACGGCCGAGATATGAGCCTTTGAAGTTGGGAATTTCGCTCTCTTGTCCTGCCCTGCGAGGCACGCGATGGACTCGTAGCTGTGCTCCGCGTGCGCCTCGAGGTCGACGCCGAAGACGTCGACGCCCTCGAGGGCGCGCGCGAGCGCCGCGAGCGCCTCCGTCGAGTCGACGAAGTTCACGGGCCGCGGCGCCGCCGCGCGGCGCGCGACGGGCGCCGCGGGGCTCGCGCGCGTCGGCGGCGCCGCGAGCAGCGCGGCGACGCGGTCCGCGTGCGGGTGCACCGGCCGCTCGTCCGTCGTTTCCCAGTCGTCGCCGCGCCGCCGCTCCCATCGCGCGGCCGCGCCCTCGGAGACGCGCCGGAGGTCGTTCGCGAGCGGCGGCCACGACGCCTGGGGCTTGTCGAGGAACGCGCGCGCGACGGCCGCCACGGCCGCCGCCGCGCGGCCGCCGCCCGGGTCCGGCCGCGGGTCCCGCGACGCGTAGGCGCGGCGGGCCTCGCCGTCGCCCTCGGACCAGTGGTAGAGGCCGAGGTCGCCGGCGACGCCGTGCGCGATGGACCGCTCGCGGCCGCCGAGCGCCGGCGAGAACGCGACGAGGCCGTTCACTACGTTACACACCGCCGCGTCCTCGCCGACGAGCTTCACGTGCTCGAGCGTGCCCGCGGCCAGGTGCGCGAGCACGCGCCGCACGGCCGCCTCCTGCTCCCGGTTCTGCGGGCCGCGGCCGCGCCCGCGCCCGCGGCCGCGTCCGCGGCCGCCCTTGCCGCGGTTGTTGTTGTTGTGGTACGGGCGGCCCATTTTTGCTGCGGAAGTGGTGGTGCTGCTGTCGAGCTGCTGCAAGCGCTGCTGCACAAGCTCTTCGGCGAGGAGCGGCCACTTCGGCGAGCCCCGCTGGTTTTGCGATGCACTTCCACTGCGAAGCGCTGCAATAGGGCACTTGGGACGCTCGAGGGCGCTGCGGCGGGGCGCGAGAGGCACTCGAATGGGTCGATTTCACGCTGCCATCGGGGCACGGCACTTGGCGGAGAGGTCAATATTGATGGTGCTCTGCTTCGGCCGCATCACCGCCGAGCAGTGCGAGCCTCGATTCTTGAAGGCTCGACGTACGCGACGCTGTGGACCCATCGTCGCGCGCCGTGGGAGCCATGGTTTCCATCACGCGCGCCGCGCTCGCCGCGAGCATCGCCGCGACGGCCGTCGCCCTGGCGCCGCAGCCTCGCGTCGTCGTCACGGGCCTCGGCGCCGTGACGGGCATCGGCAACACCTACGAGGCCATGTGGAGCTCGCTCCTCGAGGGCGCGACGGGCATCGCCAAGGTGTCGTGCTTCGAGGACGTGGAGCGCTTCGGGAGCCACGTGGGCTGCGAGGTGCGCGACTTCGAGGGCAAGGAGTGGTTCGCGAGCCCGAAGAGCGCGAACAGCAACGACCGCTACACGCACCTCGCGATGGCGGCCGCGCGCCAGGCCGTCGAGGACGCGGACCTGCACATCGACGAGAGCGAGGGCGGCGCGACGCACCCGGAGCGCGTCGGCGTCATGATCGGCAGCGCCTTCGGCGGCATCGGCACCGTCGAATCCGAGATTGCGCGCATGGAGAAGCGCGGCCCGCGCAAGGTGTCGCCCTTCGCGATCCCGGCGCTCCTCGGGAACACGGCGTCGGGCGTCGTGGCCATCGAGCTCAACGCCCGGGGCCCGAACTTTGGCGTCGTGTCCGCGTGCGCGTCGGGCACGCACGCGATCGGCGAAGGAGGAGGGTGCGAAATTCAAAGGCTCCGATCTCGGCCGTTTCCCACTCGTTTCGGCTGATTTTTGGACGAGCGACCATCTCTCGGAGCGCTCTCGGAGCGTGGATGCTTTTCCCGGAACGCGCGCGCGCGGAACACGCACGTTGAAGCGACGTTGCATCATGCTTCAGGCACGCGATCGGCGAGGCGATGCTCGCGATCCAGCGCGGCGACTGCGACGCGGTCGTCTGCGGCGGCTCCGAGGCGGCCATGACGCCCCTCATGTACGGCGGCTTCGGCGCCATGAAGGCCATGTGCACCAAGTACAACGACGACCCGGAGAAGGCGAGCCGGCCCTTCGACGCGGACCGCGCGGGCTTCGTCATGGGCGAGGGCGCGGGCGTCGTCGTCATCGAGTCCCTGGAACATGCCGAAGCGAGAGGGGCCAAGCCCTACTGCGAGCTCGCGGGCTACGGCGCGACCTGCGACGCGCACCACATCACGACGCCCGCGCCCGGCGGCGCGGGCCTCGCCAAGTGCCTCGAGAGCGCGCTCCGCTACGCGGGCGTGGCGCCCTCCGAGGTGGACTACGTCAACGCCCACGGCACGTCGACGGCCTACAACGACAAGTTCGAGACCATGGCCCTCAAGACCGTCTTCGGCGACCACGCGCCGCAGCTGCTCGTGTCGTCGACGAAGGGCGCGACGGGCCACACGATGGGCGCCGCGGGCGGCATCGAGGCCGTCATCGCCGCCCTCGCCGTCGCCAAGGACACGGCGCCGCCGACCATCAACCTCGAGACGCCGGACCCGGACTGCGACCTCAACTACGTCGCCGCGGGCGCGGAGAAGGCCACGGTCAACGTCGCCGTCACCGAGAACCTCGGCTTCGGCGGCCACAACGGCGCCCTCGTCATGAAGAAGCTTTGAGCAGAAGGGTAACTCGTTCCAGCGGCGTTTGGTGGTTTACAGGGAACTTCTTAAAACAGGCACGCGGCGGCGCGCTAGGCGTCGTAGTTGATGGCGACGGCGTCGCCGGGGCCCAGGCCCGGGGGCACGCGGAAGGAGATGACCATCTTCGGCTTGGGCTTGGCCTGGAGCACCGAGCCCGGGGGCACGCCCGGAGGCACGCGCACGACGATCTGCCGCCGCCGCCGCCGCCGCTCGCTGCGCTCGCCGCGGCGCCGCTCGACGACGACGACGCTCTCCGTCGAGTCGCAGGGCGCGCAGATGGGCACGAGCGCCAGGGGCGGCATGAGGAGGCAGAGGAAGAGGGAGCAGAGGCCCGAGCGCAGGCCGTAATAAGCCTGCGACTCGACGACGACGACGCGGCCGGGCGGCCGGCGGTAGATGACGTGCGCCTCCGTCTCCGGCGTCCAGGACTCGTCGTAGCGCGGCGGGTGCTGGTAGGCCGGCGGCTGCGGGTACGCGGGCGGCTCCGCCATGCTGGGGTTTTCTAGGTGTATTCCTTCTTTCTCCGGGCCGTTTTTGATGGATTTTTTTCGCGTCCTTAGACGCGCACGGGGTGCTCGGCTCGTTACGCGCGTTCGCGGTCAGCGGGAGGGCTTCCGCGTCCACGGGGCGGCGTCGGATTCTTTTGTATCGCCGCCAGCTGCCACGCTCTCACGGGGCAGCCAAGATCGTCGGTGGCACGTCGGGCTGCCAGAAGAAAATCATTATTATTGAGATCTGAGCTCGAGATTTTGCGTCGGAGAAGCCAAGCCAGTGAGAAGCGCATGCATATGCCAAGGCTATGCCATTGCAAGCGTCGAGGCGCCAGCGCGCCACCGAGAAAAACTCCCCAGTTTTCTTAGTCGCTGTCGTCGGCGATGTCGGCGAGGCGCGCGGCGTTGGCGGGCCGGATGAGGGACGCGTGGATGCGCTCGCCGTAGGCCTCGAGGTAGTACTCCGAGAGCTGGGTCGCGGTCAGGAACCTGCGGCCGTCGTGCTTGCACTCGTAGGGGAAGTCGCGCTCCGCGGCCATGTCCGGGTTGACGCCGCGCGAGAACTGGTCGCGGAGCACGGACTTGTTCGCCGTCATGAGGCGGTTGTTGCGCCCGAAGATGGCCTCGTCGTCGCGCGTGACGCCCTGGCGCCGCGGGTCCAACACGTCGTCCTGGAGGCCGCCGTTGCGCGCCGCCGGGCCGGGCAGCGCGGCGCGCACGTACTGGAGGATGCCCGACTGGGGCGGCGGCCGCGGCGGCTCCGCCTCGGCCCGCGGCGGCCGCCGCGGCGGCATCTGCGGGCCGATGACGGGCTCGGCCTCGACCTCGGCGACGGCCTTGAGGATCTCGTCCTTGAGCTGGGGGCCGATGTTCCCCGCGTCGAGGCGCCCGCCCTCGCCGACGCGCGAGTAGTACGTCGTCGGCCGCCGCTCGCCGGACGACGCGGCCGGGCCGCGGCCGGCCGGGTAGATCCGCGTCGGCCGCGGCGGCGCGGGCCGCGCCTCGGCGACCTCGCCGCGCTCGCGGCCGCGGCCGCGGCTCCGGCTGCGGCTGCGGGAGCGGCTGCGGGAGCGGCTGCGGCTGCGGCTGCGGCCGCGGCGTTTTTTGTGCTTCTTGCGCTCCTTGCGCTCGCGCTTCCGCGCCTTCTTCTCGCGCTTGCGCTCCTTCTTCGAGAGCGACCGCGACCGCGACCGCGACGAGCTGCGACTCCGACTGCTGTAGGAGCGGCTCCGGCTGCTGCGGCACCGGCTCGCGGAGCGGCTCATCGCGGCGAGTTTTTGCGGCTCTTCATTTTATCTTGCTAGGCTAGGAGAGGTTAACAGCTAGAGGGCCTACCCAAGGGGATCTTCAAGTATCTGGGGAGGCGACTACGCTGCCTCGAGGCGGGCCGACTATTATCCGGTCTGAGCTCCTCGGCAGCCCATTTCAGACCTCCCTCAGACCTCCGGGTCCTGGCTCCGTTGGGCCCCGCCGTGGCGGCGCTTCGGTCGAATGGGTACGTAGACCACTTCCCCAAAGCGATTTCTTCTGGGAACACGTTTTGGCTGCGCACGGGCTGCCGCCTGTTCTAAGGAACCCCTCGAAGGGCTGCCCGCGACCTGAATTCGGCGGGGATCGTTGATCTTTTGGGCCTTTGACCTGCCCCATGACCTACCCGAGCCATCGAGGCGAAAATATCAACGATCCCCGACGGCTACGACCCGACCTCGCGCGCGCAGCTCCGCGAGCACCTGTTATTGCCCCGCGGAGAGGTGATCCACGACGTCCCTGAGCCCATGCGCGTGCCGAGGGAGTCCCCTACCATCCCGGGCCCGGACCGGACCCGCGGCGCCTGCGGGAACTGCCGCTACCTGCACTACTCGATGCCCGTTATGCTCCCGCGGAGCTGTCTACGACCAGGTCAGATCGAGTCACAAACGGTCTCGCTGCACGGCTTCGCGCGCTCGTCGGCCATGGGGTTACTATGGAGCGGCGCGCAGCATCTCAGACGCGTCCTACTGGGCCAAATCGATGCCATTGACTCGCCCCGAGGCGACCCCTCCCTACACGAGTTTAAGTTCGACAAATTCACGTCGCCACGGCCTTCTCGGGGCTTCGCGCGACGCCTGGCCACCCCGCGACGAAAGCCTGGCCCGATAGGCGCCGCACCTTAGGATCTTGGCGGGCCCTGGCTGGGCCCGGCCGGCCATCGCGGGAGCGCAACGGGCATCGAGTAGTGCAGGTAGCGGCAGTTCCCGCAGGCGCCGCGGGTCCGGTCCGGGCCCGGGATGGTAGGGGACTCCCTCGGCACGCGCATGGGCTCAGGGACGTCGTGGATCACCTCTCCGCGGGGCAATAACAGGTGCTCGCGGAGCTGCGCGCGCGAGGTCGGGTCGTAGCCGTCGGGGATCGTTGATATTTTCGCCTCGATGGCTCGGGTAGGTCATGGGGCAGGTCAAAGGCCCAAAAGATCAACGATCCCCGCCGAATTCAGGTCGCGGGCAGCCCTTCGAGGGGTTCCTTAGAACAGGCGGCAGCCCGTGCGCAGCCAAAACGTGTTCCCAGAAGAAATCGCTTTGGGGAAGTGGTCTACGTACCCATTCGACCGAAGCGCCGCCACGGCGGGGCCCAACGGAGCCAGGACCCGGAGGTCTGAGGGAGGTCTGAAATGGGCTGCCGAGGAGCTCAGACCGGATAATAGTCGGCCCGCCTCGAGGCAGCGTAGTCGCCTCCCCAGATACTTGAAGATCCCCTTGGCCTACCCGCCTACCCGGGGGGTCTGCACCTTGCACAGTATTAGCTAGGTTGCCGCAGAGCATGGGCAGTTGAAAGCGCACCCAAGCTGCCCACCAAAGCAAAGTAGAGCACGTTGCGACGCACAGCACGTTGACAGCCTACAAAAGCACATTCAGCCCATGGGCAGCTGCGTCGCGACCCTCAAGGTCGAGTTCGACGAGGACCGGCGGGACTTCGACCTCGACGAGTTCGACGGCCGCTGGGTCGCCTACTTTGGCAGTTCGCGCATCATCAAAGACCGGCGGGCCTACCTCGGATTGCGGTTCACGCTCTTCGCCAGCATCTTGGCCATCTTCGTCTGGAGTATCACCGTCGACGCCCTGGCCGGCGACCTGCGCTGCTGGCTCATCTATCTGACCCACCAGGGTTTGCTCATCGAGCTGTGCTACCTCGGCCTTGCGGCCGCGACGACCGCCGCTTCCTTCCACTTCACGAACATCGACGGCACGCCGGGCCCGCCGGCGAAGATGCCCTGGTACTGCAAGGCCGCCTGGGTGCTCCAGGGCGTCGCGCTGCCGGGCAGCTTCCTCATCTTCGTGCTCTACTGGGGCCTCGTCTACGACGGGTCCATGCACGCGATCTCGCCGTTCACGCACGGCATGAATTTCGCGGTCATGGTCGCGGACCAGGCGCTCTCGAACCAGCCCATGTACCTCCTGCACGCGGCCTTCTTCATGGCCTACACGGTGGCCTACCTCGCCTGGACGGTCGTCCACTACGCCGCGGGCCTCAAGGACTGCGACAACAACCGCTACATCTACGGCGCTTTAGACTGGTCGAACCCGTCGTCCGCGGGGCGCATCGCCGGCGCCGTCGTCGTCGTCGCCGCGCCGCTCGTCAACGTCGCGTTCTGGTGGCTCTTCTTCCGCCGCGCGAAGGGGCCCTCGCGGAAGGTCGCGCCCGCCGGCGAGGCCGCGCCCGCGGAATGTAAAGACCCGGCCTGACGGTCGTTAGGTCGCCTCGGCGCAGTGGTCCCAGTGGATGTCGACCCTCGGCGCCCAGTCGTAGGCGCCGAACTCGAGCTTCGCGGTCGCCGGGTCGAGGCCGTTGCTCTCGAACCAGGAGAAGGGGTTGTTGTCGCGCTTGAGCAGGGCGTCGACGCGCGCGAGGATGTCCGCCGTGCCGCTCCCGAGGTCCTGGGAGTTGTAGCGCAGCGGCCCGGGCAGCGTCACGCCCTTCTTCGTCACCGCCGCCGCGCGCCGGAGGAAGTCGGCCGCGTTCGCGTCGAGCTCGTCCTGGAGCGCCGGCGCGCGCCGCGCGTGGACGACGCGGAGCGGCGCCGACGACGCCGTCGCCGCGAAGAGCGACAGCGCCAGCGCGCGCGGCGACGCCGCGGGCTTGAGCCGGGCCCGCGCGTCGTCGTCGGAGAAGCGCGGCAGGAGCAGCGCGATGGCCAGCGTGCCCTTGAAGATGTCGCCGCGCCGCAGGAGCGCGTGCTCGATGTCGATGGCGCTCAGCGTCAGCTCGCCGAAGGCGTAGCGCTGCCGCTTCGCCCACGCGAGGTACGCGGGCACCGGCGCGAAGGCGGTGGCCGTCGCCGGCGGCCCGCTCGCGACGCAGCCGTGGAGCACGACGAGGTTGTGCGCGTTGATCCAGAAGGCGTGCTTCGCCGCGTCGTCGGTGAGCGCGTCGAGGTCCGCGGCGCGCAGCGCGCCCGCGGCCTCCTCGAAGGCCGCGAACGCCGCGGATTCCCGGACCTCCCGGAGGACCGCTAAATCGACGTTCCCCCCGGCGTGGAAGAACTTGACCGTGGCGACGAGGCGCTCGAGGAGGGCGCGCACGGTGGTCAGGGCGTCCGTTGAGGCGCGCACGGTGCTCTGGGCGCCGTTGAGGCAGCCGCGGCGCGCCTTGTCGGGCTTCCGCGGCGACGCGCCGCCGTCGCCGGGCGGCTCCCAGAAGGACTCGGAGAGCCGCCGGCCCGCGGACTTGGGCGTCAGGGGCCTTCGACGCGCCGCGGCGAGCTGGCGGCCGCCGAGCGTGCGCATGAGGGCCACGCGCGGCGCCGGCGGCGCGTCGTCGCGCGCCGCGGCCGCCGCGCCCGCGACCAAACCCGCGACCCAGCGCCGCGCGTCGCCGGGCGACGGCGCCTCGAGGACGGCGCGGTCCGCCCGGGGCCGCCCGCTCCAGGCGCCCGTGCCCGCGGCGTAGCGCACCTCGAAGGCGCAGGCGTCGAGCGGCGACACGCTTTCCACGGCGTCGCCGGGCAGCCAGAGCGCGAGGGGGCCGCCCGCGTCGTAGAGCCAGAGGCAGTCGTCGGAAAACTCGGCGTCCACGGCCTCGGACGACCCGTCGTCGCACGCCCAGCGCAGCGGGCCGACGAGGCTCCCGGACCCCTTGCGATCCACGAGGCGCCGCGTCTCCGCGCGCAGCGCCTCGCACGCGGCCCGTCCGCCGCCGCGGCGCAGGGCCGCGCCGCAGCGCCGCCCCAGGTCCCCGCAGAGCCGCGCGAAGGGCGGCGCGCCCGGCGCGTCCGCCGGCGCGTGGACGGCGCCGCTGTCCGCGTCGACGACGAGGCAGCCGTCGTCGACGAGCGCGGCGACGAACTCGTAGTCGTCGCGGCCGTCGCGGCTCGTCAGCGAGGAGCCGCGCTCGAGCGTCGCGTCCCTCGTATCCTCCTCGTCGGCGCGGGTCGCGTACCAGGCGTCGGCGTCCTCGTCGCGCGCGCCCACGGCGAAGGGCACGGGCGCCTCGAGGACCTCGGACGACCCGGGCGGTAGGACGGGCGCGAAGATGTGCACGAAGGGCAGCGGCTCCATGCATTTTAAAACACCGGAGAGCAGCGGCGCCAGGAGGCGCGGGTCGCCGCTGCGCACGGCGAGGCGCCGCTCGAAGACGCAGCCGTACCAGCACGCGGCGAGCGCGTAGCCTCCGAGCGCCTCGAGACCCCGCGCGAGCGACGCGTCGCCGAGCGGGTCGTCGCCGTCGTCGTCGCCGCCATCGTCGAGCAGGTCCTCGAGGTTCATGGCGCCGTCGCTCGCGCGGCGCGCGGCCGCGGCCGTCGCGGCCGCGCGGAGCGCGTCGTAGCAAGGCCGCGACCCGCACGCCGCCGCGCGCGCGCCGCCGCGGGACACGACGACGCAGTGCACGCGCAGGCCCGCGCCCGTCGTCGCCACGACGGCGAGGTCGCCCTCCTCGGCGACGGGGAAGCGCTCGAGGTCCTCGACGCCGATGAGGGCTTTGCCCGCCGACGCGCCGCCGGCCTCGAGGACGAGCACGGACTCGACGCGGCCGGCGCGCTCGACGTCGATGCCGCGCACGGCCTTGAGCTCGACGAGCTCCGTCTCCGACGACGCCGTCGAGTCGTCGTGCTCGGCGAAGGGGTCGTCGGGCGCGGCTGCGCTCATGGCTGTGACTTGGCCACCATGTGACTCGTTGGGCCAGCTGGCCAATCGCAAGGCCGCTCGAGAGCGCGCTTCGAACGCCGGGCGCTTACGGCCGTCGGCGGCGACCTCACTCGGCGGCGGGCTCCTTCTCGACCTCCTCGACGATGGGCTCGTCGAGGTCGTCGTCGAAGTCGATGTCCTCGGCCGGCGGCGGCCCGTCGTCGTCGTCGTCGTCGTCGACGTCCGCCGGGTCGCCCGCGGGCGGCTCCGGCGGCGCGCCGCCGTCGATGGCGTCGTAGTCGCCCCGCGGCGCGACGTCGTCGTCGATGAGGTCGCCGTAGTCGTCGTCGCCGACGTAGCAGCCCTCGGCCTCGTCGTAGGTCGCGCCGACGATCTCCTCCTTCGTCGCGCCGGAGAAGACCTTGGGCTTGTGCATGTCCGTCACGGTCCACTTCTCGACCTGGTAGAGGGGCGGCTTGCCGAACTCGACGACGTGCTTCCAGTAGCGCGTCTCCGCCTCCTCCGTGCGCCGCATGGCCATGATGCACTCCGTCCAGTGGCTGTGGACGCCGCCCGGCATGATCGCGAAGCCGATGTCGACGTGCCGCCAGTACTCCGACGTGCGGCCGAAGGCCAGCGTGACGGCCTTGCGGCCGACGATGGGCTGCTTGCTGTCCGGGAACGTGAGCTTCACCTCCGCGTCGAGGAGCTCCATGAGCTCCGGGTTCCGCTCGACGTAGACGCGCTTGAGCATGACCTCCGTCATGGTCTCGTAGTCGTAGGCGTTGAGGTGGAGCTCCGGGTTCGGCGCGCGCCGGTAGCGCTTCTCCTTCTTCTTCTTCTTCTGCTCCGCGCGCTCCTTGGGCGTCGGCGGCGGCGGCGGCGGGCAGAGCTCCGCGCCGATGGACGCCGCGACGCCGTTGTTCTCCTGGTCCGCCTCGAACTCCTTGATGGCCTGCTGCATCTGGAGCGCCTCCTCGAGCCGGTCCTCGCTCTTGGCGATCTGGTACTCCTGCTTCCTGCGGGGGGCATCGGCGCGTCGCGCGCGCGCGGTCGAAAGAAAAGAACGCACATCTTCTCGTAGCGGCTCTTGACCGTGTCCTTGATCTTCTGGCCGATCTCCGTGACCTGCTTGAGCTCGAGGAGCTGGCCGAGGCCCAGGGGCTTGCCGTCGATGAGCATCCACTCGGGATCCCAGAACGAGCCCTCGACGCGGACCCAGCCGTCGAGGTAGTCGACGGCGACGACGGCCTTGCCCTTGACCATGGCGCCCGTGATGCTCGCGAGCATGCTCGGCGCGCTGCGGATCGCGACGCGCCTAGGCCGGGGGGCGCGTGCGCATCGGTTTCCAAAGCGCGGCGGACGCGGGCCGCGCGGACGGGTCGTAGATGACCTCGTAGATCTCGTGGCGCGTGACGCGGTACGCCGGCGACTGCGGCTCGTCGAAGGCGTCCTCGGCGCCGCGGGGAGACGGCATGGTCGCGCGGCGGGCTTCGACGCGGTGTAGGCCACTCGAGACACGATGCCCGGCCTCTCCGTCTCGAGGCAGCCCGGCCGCCGGGGGAAATCGGATTTCCGTTGGGCCCCCGGGGCAGCGTCGCGGCGCAGCGGTTCGTCGTCGCGTCCGCCATCATGGCGGCCGGCCGCGAGCGCAACAGCGTGCTCGTCGCGGCGATCGTCGCCGTCGTCTTCCTCTGCGGCATCCTCTTCGTCCAGAACACGCAGGCGTCCGTGTCGACGCTCCACCACGAAGGCCAGGCGCTGTCGCTGGAAACGGGCGCTGCGGCGCCGGCGGCGGCCGCGGCGCCCGCCGCGCCGGCGCCGGCGCCGTCGCTCTGGGAGCGCGCCGCCGCCGCCGTCGCCGGCACGGCGCTGGGGTCGTCGACGGCCTTCGACGCGGCGACCGCGGAGGTCTTCGGGTCTTCCGACTCCGGGGGCCTGGACGCGGCGATCGCGGCGAAGCGCGCGGCCATCGAGGCGCTCGCGAAGCAGACCGCGGCGCTCAAGGCCGAGCAGGAGCGCATCCTGCGGCAGGCGCAACAAACCGCGCCCGCGGCGGCCGCGGCCGCGGCCGCGCCGGAGCCGCCGGCGCTCGCGGGCGAGTCGACGACGGCCGCGGCGCTCCTCGGCGGCGGCGACGACGGCCTGTCGCGCGAGGAGCGGCGGGCGAAGCGCAAGGCCGCGCGGCGCGAGGCCGCGGGTGCGGGTGCGCCCGCCGGCGGAAAGCAGCGCCACGTGCGCTTCCACCTCGCCGGGGGCCGGTGCGACCTCGCCGTGACGCCGAACGAGGGCAAGGCCGTGGACCCGGACGACGAGAGCTCCTGGCTCCGCTGCGACCAGGGCGGCGCGCAGACGCTGGCGTCCGTCTTCGAGGTCACGCCGTCGTCGAGCCCGGGCCGGGTCCGGCTCCGGAGTCTGGCGAACGGGAAATTCGTCGAGATGGTCCCCCCGAACGCCGCGCTGTCCTGGGTCGTGCGCGCGTCCCTCGACGGCGACGCGCCGACGGGCGAGTTCGACGTCGTCGAGAAGGCCTACCTGCGGGGCGCGAGGGCCGGCGGCTTCGTCACGGCGATCCTCGAGAACGGCGAGGCCAAGGTCTCGAACCCCGTGCGGGGCCACGGCAACAAGCCGCGGAACAAGTCGGCCGCGGGCCGCGAGAGCCTGAACCGCTTCGAGTGGCGGTGGCTCGACGACGCCGCCGTCGCCCAGGCGCGGGCGAACAGCGCCGCGGTCGCGAAGGAGCAGGAGGCGCTCCAGGCGCCGCCGCCGACTTTGGGCGACGTCTCGCACGAGAAGCGCGTCGTCGCCTACGGTTTGTACGGGTCGGACCCCAAGTACTGCACGGGCGCGATCCGGAACTCGGAGCTCGTCAAGGAGGTCTTCCCGGGCTGGGTCGCGCGCTACTACCACCGCGAGGACGTGCCCGAGCACGTCTTGCAGGCGCTCCGGGACAACGGCGCGGAGCTCGTGCTCATGAGCAAGGGGTCGAAGACGACCCAGGGCGACATCGCGGGCATGTTCTGGCGCTTCCTCGTCGCCGACGACCCCACCGTGGACCGCTACATCGTCCGCGACAGCGACTCGCGGCTGAACGCGCGCGAGGCGCACGCCGTCAACGAGTGGATCGCGAGCGGCAAGGGCATCCACACGATCCGCGACCACCCGAACCACGACCGGCCCCTCAACGGCGGGCTCTGGGGCGGCGTCAAGGGCGCCTTCCCGGGCATGGCCAAGGAGGTCAAGAACTTCGAGAACAAGCAGGGCTACGGCGGCGACCTCCAGTTCCTCAACACGGTCGTCTGGCCCCGCGTCAAGAACAACCAGTTCGGCCACGACGCCTACACGTGCAACAAGTACCCGAACAGCCACCCCTTCCCGACGAAGCGGCCCGAGAACTACCAGCACGTCGGCCAGGTCTTCAACGCGAACGACCAGAGCCGCGCGCGCGACATCAACGGCTACATGCGCGGGCGCAAGATCCCGCCCAAGTGCCGGAAGCAGGAGACGTGGTGGTACGGCTAGGGGCCGGGGTCGTGTATTCAAGGCTCTCGTCGGAAGTCAGCGGATGGTAGTACTGGTAGGCGTTGCCGCGTCGCGAGGCGTCCGACGCGTCCGGGTAATTCGGCGACGATTTAGCAAAATTTTTACGATCCAACGCGATCACGGCTCGCAATTAATTAATCGAGTCCGTACCTTACCGCCGTCGCGTCGATGCACTCGCCCTCTAACCCCCTGCACGCCGCCCTGCACAGCCGGCGCGGCGTGCGGCAAGGCCTCATGCGTGTGGCCGCCGTGCTTTTGACGGTCGTCGTCGGCGTCGCGGTGCTCGACCAGCGGAGAGTGTCCAAGCGCAACGTTCGGTCGCACGACACCTACTGGTCGCACGCCACCTACTGGCCGAGTCGCGCCGCGCGGAAAACGCGGCTGGCCACGCGCGACGGCGAGGAGCGGGAACTCGTCGACGGCGAGGCCGAAGGCGCGGGGTCCGAAGAGACCGAGGCGCCGACGGCGGCGCGCGCCCCGATGCCGTGGCCGACGCCCGCGCCCCGGCCCAAGAAGAAGGCGTCTCCGCTGTTCGACGATGAGAACGTCGACGACGCCGCGACCGAGTTTCCGACGCCCGAGCGCGCGCCGATGCCGTGGCCGACGCCCGCGCCGACGCCTCGGCCCCGGCCAGGGGCAGTTTCGGGGGGGCTCGTCTTCTAAGCTCCCGGCATCGCCCCCCCCCCCAAAACCACAGCCGCGGCGCCGTGGGTTACGCGCGGGGTTGTCGGCGGGGCCCGGCGCTGGGCGCCGCGCTCACGAGCCGATGAGCTCGCTGTCGTCGATGATCTCGGAGGCGAACTCGTCGAAGATGCGCTGGTCGTCGTGGTACTCGGCGATGTCCATGTCCTCGTCGTAGTCGTCGAAGAGGGACATGTCGTCCGTGCCCTTGATCGGGGGCTTGAACGGCGCGTCGACGGACTTGGAGTGGAGGGCCTTGAAGTCCGTGCCCTGGAAGTAGGGGTGCTCCTTGATCTGGTTGCCGCCGCCCTTGAGGTTGCCCAGGCGCTTCTTGCGGTTCCGGTCCAGCAGCGACTGGCAGAGCTGCACCGTGTCGCCGCCGATGCGCGTCGTGTCCTTCTTCAGGAACTTGACCTTGGCCTGCTGGATCTGCTTGAAGATCTGCATCGTGTCGCTCGGGTCGTCGGCGGCGAAGGGCGTCGCGCCCATGTGCATCTCGTAGACGAGGCACCCAAAGGCCCACAGATCCACGTCGAAGCGGTAGCCCTGGCCCAGCACGCACTCCGGCGCGAGGTACTCGGGCGTGCCGACGATGGTGTAGGTCTGGTCCCCCGTCTTCAGCACCTTGGCGAACCCAAAGTCGACGATGCGGATGTAGCCGCCCGCGTCGATGAGGATGTTCTCGGGCTTGAGGTCGCGGTAGACCGTGCTCTTCGAGTGGATGTAGCAGAGCGCGTCGAGCGTCGTGCACGCGTAGAACTTGGCCTCGTCCATGGGGAAGGCGTCCATGGCGAAGCACGTGAGGCGGCTGAAGAGCTCGCCGCCCTGGACGAGCTCGAGGAGGAAGTAGCAGACGTTCATGGACTGGTACGTCGTCAAAAGCCGGAGCACGAAGGGGTGCTTGAGGTCCTTGAGCACGCGCCGCTCGTACAAAATCGCGTGGGTCTGCTTCATCTCCGCCATCATGTGCTTCACGAGCATCTTCAGCGCGTAGATGTTCGTCACGCCGTTGACCGTGTGCGACGTCAGCTTCACGCGGCCGAACGTGCCCATGCCCAGCGTCCGCTTGATCTCCAAATCCGTGAACTTGGGCAGCGTCTTGATGAGGTGCGCGTCCTGGGCCTTGCGCGTGCGCTCCTCCGTGATGACCGCGGGGTCGAACTCGTAGACGAGGACGTCGTCCTTGGCCTTGGCCTTGGCGTCCGCGCACTTGGGGTGCACGCCGAGCGCGTGGATGCCGAGCACGCGGCCCGACGTCACCAGGTTCCGCTTCTCCATCTGGAACCAGGAGTTGGACGACCCGGGCGTCTCGAGCTCGATGGTGCCCTTGCGGACCACGATGAGCTTCGTCAGGTCCGCGACGTTCTCACTGACGACGTCGCCCGCCTTGTACTCCTTCCGCAGGAGCTGCTCGAAGGTCGCCGGGTTGTCGCGGACGACGGCGGCGGCGACGGGGTCCGCGGCGATGTCCGGCAGCGACTTGATGACGGCGACGGCGAGGGACCGCTCCATGGCCTCGCTCAGGTTGCCCAGCAAGGCCACGAAGTCCTCGCGGCCCACCGTGTAGCACACCGTGGGCTTCATGGCGATGACGTCGCAGGCGCGGAGCTCGTCGCGGATCAGGGCGCGCTCCCCGAAGTGGGCGCCCTTGCCCAGGTCCACGTAGCCCACGGCCTTGGGCTGGCGGCCGATGTTCGCGCAGCGGACCGCGCCCTCCTTCATCATGTAGAACTTGTCGCCGACCTCGTCCTTGCAGATGATGCGGCTCCCGACGGAGAACTGTTCCGTGGACGTGTGCAACGCGAGCTGGGAGAGATGGTTCTCGGAGAGGCCCGCTAGAAGCTGGATCTTCTTGAGGCCGTCGATGATGTGCGTGAGCTCGCCGGCGGTGGAGCTCGCCATGTACTTGCGGAAGGGCGCGCGGTCGAGCTTCCAGCAGAGCGAATCCTTGGCCGCCGTCACGGTGGCTGCCCGGAGCTGGTCCATGACGAGGGCGAGCTCGCCGAAGGAGCCGCCCTCCTCGGACGTCGCGACCTGCTTCCCGTCGACGAAGATGTTGAACTGGCCGCTCTCGACGATGTAGAAGGCGTTGCCCGTCTCGCCCTGGACGATCAAATTATCGCCCGTGGGCGTGCGCACCTCCGTCATGCAGAGCATGATCGCCTCCTTCTGGTCGTAGGACAATTCCTGGAAGATCGTCAGGTGGTCGAGCACCTCCAAGATGAGCTTCCGCGTCTTCGGGTTCTTCTCGACCTTCACGGGCACGTAGTCCTTGTCGACGTCCATGCGGTTGCCGACGATGGCCGCCGCGCCCTTCTGCGCGCGGCCCTTGGCGCCGCCCTTGCCGCCCTTCTTCCCGCCGCCGCCGTCCTTCTTCTTCGACTTCTTACCCTCGCCGCCGCCGTCGCCGCCGTCGCCCCCGCCGTTCTTCTCCTTCTTGTCCTTCTTCGACCCGACCATGGACTTCTTCACGGAGGACACGCGCTTGAGCATGGCGCAGCGCTACTCGGTGGCGCGCCGGCGCCGCCGAGTCCTCTCAGGAGGTGGGGTGTCCGTCAGCGCGGTGAGTGTTGGGGGCGCGTCCCTCGACCGTCGCCGCCGATCACTGCCGGCGCGGGCCCCCCGTCGGCGCAGCGGTGGCGGGGCTTCCTACCGACGCGCCAGCATCACGCGCGCCGAGCTGCGCAAGAGGGAAATGGATGTGGGGCTGCCCGCGGCCTTTGATTGAAACAGTGGAGTTTTATGGTGCATGCTGCAGTGGTATCCATTGCAACCAGAATTCGCACCACCTACAACACAAACCCGCGACGCGCGCGGGGCTGCCTCTCGATGGCCGCGCTCGTCGAGGGTGACGGCGACCCGCTGCTCCGCGTCGTCGCGCGCGCCTTCCCGCGGTCGCGGTGCTGGAGCGCCGCGCCGCCGTCGGCGCTCGCGGCCTGCGGCGAGGACGTGCTCGTGTCCGTCGTGACGCCGACGACGCCCGGCCGGCGCTGGACGCACCGGTCCCTCTACCGCTGCTTCGCGCAGCAGACCTGGCCCTGGAAGGAGCTCGTCGTCCTGGAGACGGGCGGCGCCCCGTCGCCCTTCTGGGAGGCGACGGCGCGCAACGACGGCCGCGTCCGCTACGCGCACGACGAAAGCGACGCGCCGCTCGGCGCGAAGCGGCGGCGCCTCGCGGAGGCCGCGCGCGGCGACGTCGTCGCCCACTTCGACGACGACGACCTCTACGGCCCGGCCTACGTCGACGGCCTCGTCGCGACGCTCCTCGAGGGCGGCCGCGACGGCGCCGCCAAAGCCGAGGAGCCGCGCGTCGCGACCTTGGTGTCGTGGCTCTCGCTCGACGTCGAGACGGGCCGCGTCGCCGCCTACGACGTCGACGACGACCGGCGCGCCGTCGAGGCCGCGCTCGGCGGCGCCGTCGGCGACCGCGCGGCCGCGGAGCGCCTCTGCGCGCGGTCGCTCGGCTACGGGTTTTCGTTCGCCTACACGAAGGCGGCCGCCGCGCTCGCGCCCTTCGACGACGCCATATCGCGCCAGGAGGACTGGCAGTTCCTCACCCTGGCGACGAACCGCGGCGCCGCACTCGGCCTGCGGCGCGACGACTTCGCGAAGCCGCTGTGCCTCCACCTGAGCCACAACGGCCGCTCGTCGACGAACCCCGTGACGACCTTCGCCGTCGACGCCGCGGGCGTCCGCGCGGCCCTGGGGACCTTCCTCCGGGACCTGTGCACGATCCTGCCCCGGCACCACGACCGCCACCGGAGCATGCTCGCGGACGCGCAGCGCGCGCGATGACCGTGACGGCGCCGCTTCACTTTAGACCTTTTACTATGACGCCGCTTCAAGGTCGATCTCAGCCGCTCTCGGAGCTGCCCCTGGCCAGCGCATGGGCAGGATGTTGGGTATTTTCGCGCATCCAATGCGGCGGCGCTGATACGGCCTCGCCCGCGGCGACGACTCCGGACGCGACCTCGACCTTCGATTCCAAGCCCGACGCCACGGATGGCCGTCGAGGCGCAGGAGACGCGCCTGGCGCGCCTGTCGACGGTGTCGGCGAGGGCCCTGGACACGCTCGAGAGCCTGGGCCGCGAGGTCGACGACGTCGAGGCGGCCATCGCGGCCTACGAGCGCCTGGAGCGCGGCGCGCCCGACGCGGCGAAGCACGCGGCCCTCGGCGAGCTGCGCCAGCTCAACGGCCGCCTCGACAAGCTCCAGGCCGAGCGCGTCGACGCGGTCTGCACCGCGGAGCTCGAGAGCGGCCGCGACGAGGCGCGCGCGGAGCGGAAGCGGCTCAACGGGCGCCTCGACGCGCTGCGGCCCCGGGTCCAGGCCGCCGTGGGCCGCCTGTCGCGGCCGAGCGCGCTGCCGCGCGAGCGCGTCGACGCCGCGGACCCGCTGGCCCTCGCGAACCGCTGGTCCGCGCCGCAGCCCCGCGTGCAGCGCTTCTCGACGATCTCCGCCAAGGCGCTGGACACGCTCGACGCCCTCGAGGGCGAGGTCGGCGGCATCGAGGCGAAGCTCGCCAAGTTCGACGACGTCGCGCGCTACGGCAATTCGGCGGACCGCGACGCGGCCAAGGGCGCCCTCCGGCAGCTCAACGGGACGTTGGACACGCTCCAGTTCGAGCGCGTCGACGCCGTGGCGACGTCCGAGCTCGACAGCGGGAAGCTCGAGGCCCGCGGGCGGCGCCGCGCGCTCAACGCGCGCATCGAGGCGCTCCGCCCCCGCGTCGAGGCGACGCGGGAGCTCCTGCGTTGCCCGCCGCCGCCGCCGGAGCCCGAGCCGCCCGTCGCCGCCGTCGCCGTCGACGAGGTCGAGCTGAGCGTCATCGAGGACCCGCTCCTCCGGAGGGCCATCAAGCTCACGGAGTTCAGCGGCCTCGAGACCGTCGCCCTCGAGGTCGAGACCTAACGCCCTTTTTATCGGAGGCGGAGCCGCGCCTTCGCCGCGAAGATGGTCGCCGCGTCGAGGTCCGACAGGAACAGCGCCTCGAAGCGGCCGTAGTCGACGCTCCCGAAGCCCGTCGCCGGGTCCCAGCCCGGCCCCGCGTTGAAGCCCTGGAAGCAGCAGTGGGCCGCGTGGGACACGCAGTGGTTCGAGCCGGACGTGACGTCGTTCGCGAAGGCCCCGCGCGACCAGTAGAGCACGGGGTTGATGAAGCCCAGCGGCGGCGCGCCGGCCTCGAGCCGGATGGCGTTGACGAGCGACGCCATGGCCGCGACGGCGGGCGCCGAGCACGACGTGCCCGAGACCGCGTACAAATCGCCGCCGATGACGACCTCGTAGCCGTAGCCCGCCAGCGCCACGTCCGGGTACGCGCGGCCCTCGCGCCGGAAGCCCGGGAACGGCGCGTGCGACGCGAGGTACGCGTCGACCGCGGGCCGCGTGTAGTTGTGGGCGTCGAAGACCGTCGAGAAGCCGCCGCCGGACGTGATCACGGAGTCCTCGTAGTCGCTCTGGCAGACGACCTCGCCCTCGCCGCGCGCGCCCCAGTCGTTCGTCGTCGTCGTCGCGCCGACCGCGACGACCCAGGGCGACGACGCCGGGTAGGACGGCGCGTAGGCGCACTGGGACGCGCGCGAGATGACGTTCGCGACGCCGTCGTCGCCGCTGCTCACGAAGACCGTCGCGCCCATGAGCGCGAGCTTCATCGCGGCGACGTTGAAGCTCCGCATGACGCTGGGCACGAGCGCCGTCTCCAGGGACCCGTAGGAGATGGACGTCACGAGCGGCGGGTGCTCCATGTTCGACACGCGCATCGCGAAGAGCACGAAGGGGTCGTCGAAGTCCTGGTCGTCGTCGACGTAGAAGAACGTCGTCGGCGCGCGCGGCGCGAGGGCCGTCATGTACTGGACGTCCAGGTTCCCCTCGGCGCAGTCGCCCGGGTCGTCGCATCTGTCGACGACGTGGCCGCCGACGGACGTGAGGTTCTCGTGGACCGGCAGATCGAAGAAGCCGTCGAAGGTCCGCAGGTCCCGGGGCGAGTACTCCTGGCCGATGGTCTCGAAGAGGGCCTGGGTCGCCCGCGTCGGCGGGCCCGAAGCGTACATGTACTCGGCGTCGATGCCGTAGAAGCGCTGGAGCTTCTGCGGCGTGATCCGCCGGTCGTGGCCTCTGACGTCGGACCCGTCCAAAATCTCCACGTGCCGCTTCGCGCCGCCGAGGAGCACGGGCAGCTCCGCGACGCCGTAGACGGCGTGGACGGACGCGTAGACCGCCGCGGGCAGCGAGTAGTCGCCGTCGCAGCGGTAGACGGACCCGTCGCCCGCGAGCGTTTTGGCCCACAGGAACATCGTGCACTCGAACATGCGCTCGATGGCGTGCACGGGCGCCTGGACGGTGACGAAGCCGCCGCTGCGCGTCGCGTGGGCCTCGAGGCCCAGCCCCGCGAGCCAGGCCTCGACGGTGGCCGCGTCCGCCGCGTCCGTCGTCAGGGTCCGGACCTCGTCCGCGGTCCAAAATTGCCGGAACCGCGCGTGGCCCGGCGTGCTCGCGGCGAGCACGGCGGCCTCGAGCTCGTCGAGGTGCGTGTGGCGCAGCTCGAGGGTCACGGCGTGGACCTCGCAGCCGTCGACGCGCGCGGCCTTGCTCCAGTAGGGCAGCGCGCGGTGGCTGCCGGGCGCGCGCGTCGCCTCGTCGAGGAAGCCCTGCGCCTCGGCCCGCCGCAGGCCCGGCACGCCGCAGCGCTGGCCCGCGGGCAGCAACGGCGGCGCCAGCGCCGGCGCGAGCACGCTCGGCGCGAAGTTCCAGACGGACAGGCGCCCGCGGTCGCGGGAGAGGCCCGCGACGACGCAGAGGGTTGCTGTTGTGCCAAGGGCCCAGCGCTTCCTCGACCGGCGCCGCGCCTGCGCCCGCACGCCGCCGAGCAGGCCCGCGTCCTCGTCCGCGAGCAGGTACGCCGCCTCGTCGGCCATCGCGCGGCAATAGGGGGCAGCCCGCGTCTATGGCGTCACAGAGTTCGAGGCCGGCGGTGCCGAGTGCATCATGAAGCTGTAGTGGTGCTTGAACCGGCTCTGCGGCATGGCAGATTGGCCGGCGCCTCTGTCCGTGTTTGTAGCTAGCTAAATGCGCCCGCTTCGCCTCGCGCTGCTGACAACGATGGCGCGCGCGGTGACGCTCTACACGAACCGCATGTGTCCCTTCGCGCAGCGCTGCGAGGTCGCGCTCCGCTTCGGCGGCGTCGAGTACGAGGCCGTCGAGGTCAACCTCTACGGCAGCGGCGGCTTCGACAAGACGCAGCTCAAGGCCGTCGAGGCCGCCGGCGGGCTTTCGCCGCCCAAGGGCTACATCCCGGTCCTCAAAGTCGGCGACGAGGCCATCCGCGAGTCCGACGCGTGCGTGCGGCGCATCGCGGCGCTCGCGCCGGCGCTGGAGCCGGCGGACGCGGCCGCGGCCGACGCGATGATCACACTCTGCAACGGCCCGCTCGCCGACGCGGGCCGCGCGGTCGTGGGCTCCGGCGCTAAGCGGTCGCCGCGGCTCGACGCGTGCCTCGGCGAGATCGACGCGCGGCTCGCGGCGACGGCCTACGTCGCGGGCGACGCCTTCTCCACGGCCGACGCGTGCCTGCTGCCCTTCCTCTGGCGCATCGACGACTCCCTCGAGCTGCCCGCGGAGTTCGGCCACCTGCGCGCCTACGTGGCGCGCGCGTGCGCGGAGCCCGCGTTCGCGGCGACGGTCGTCCCGTCGTGGTGGTGGTGGTGGTAACACGAGACTCCGGTTATGTGGTGCCGGGGGGTAGCACGCGGTGGCACAGCCTTCTAGCACAGACTAATTTCGGGGCGGGGGGGCGCATTCAGCGGCGCGCGCCGAAGGAGTCGAGGGCGTCGTCGGGCGCGCCGAAGTCGCTCTGGGGCCCGAAGGACCGCGTCGGCGGCGGCGCGCGGGTCGCGGGCGGCGGGCTCCGCGACGGCTGGCGCGCGCCGCGGGCCATGTCCTGGGACCGCACCTGCTCCCGGGCCTTCTTGAGCATCTCGACCTGGCGCTCGCGGCGCGCGGCGGCCGCGGCGTGATCGCGGCGGAGGTCCGTCGAGTTGCGGCGGCCGCCGTGCATGGGGTTGTCGACGGAGCCCGGCCAGTGGCGCTTGACGCCGTGGGTCCGCGTCTCGCGGACGAAGAGCGGGTCGGGCTTCGCGAAGCCCAGCGGGTACGCGCCGCCCTGCGCGCCCTCGAGCCAGTACTCGCGCTGGCCCTCGCGGCGGCTGTAGAAGCCGTAGGCCAGGGGCCCGAACTCCGCCACGTAGGAGCAGACGCGCATGAGGCCGAAGGTCGCGAAGTACATGCCCGGGTCCACGTCCGCCGTCACCGCGAGCACGACGCCGGCGACGAGCAGCCCCAAAGAACAGATCGACGCGATGTAGAGGCTCTGCTTGCCCGCGTCCTTGAAGCAGTCGCGGCAGAGCCAGCAGACGCCGTGGAGCGCCGCGCCGGGCTGGACGCAGGGGCACGTTGCGAGCATGCGCAGGAGCAGGTCGTAGACCACGAGCAGGAACGACGAGAACGCGACCCAGAAGCAGTAGACCGCGAGGGACTCGTGCACGGGGTGCTCGTGCTGGATGTAGGCCGACATGAAGAGCGAGAAGCAGACGACGCAGAGGAAGTAGCAGACGCGGTCGAAGCGCTCGAAGGGGTGCAGCGCGTGGCCGCGCCACGTGCTGATGAGCGTGTGCTCGTTGTCGACGTAGAAGCACCAGTCGCCCCACCAGTCGTCCTTGCCGCCGAACCAGACGACGCGGCCCAGCGTGAAGCCCTCCTGGAGCGCGCGCTCGTCGTGGTTCGTCGGCGCCTCGGGGTCGCGCAGGTCGTCGCCGTCGCCGCCGGCGTTGACGAGGGACACCATGGCCGCCGACGCGAACTCCAGCGTGCCCGCGCCGCCTCGCGCCGCCCCGCCTCGCGCCGCCCCGGCTGAGGGCGACCCGAGCGAGCGCGAGGATGCGGACGCGGTCGCGCCCGGGGGCGCGCGCGACGACGGCGCAAATGTTGAGTTGGACAAAATGCATCGTCTGCTCAACTTGTGAAGGACACGATGGACACGAGCTCAGACGCCTGCTGGCACCACCTGCCTCCCTCGCCGCCCAGCTCCGCGCCGCTATCGACCCTACAGCGCTCACCGACCGCGCCGCTCGCTCCCAGCGTCCCACGCGCACCCCTGAGCGTCTTGGGCGAACGTGTCCCCGCGCGCAGGTCATGCTCGGCCCAGGAGAGACCGGCGACACGCCGGTCGCCGAGCTCAAGCGCAAGTCCGAGGAGCACAAGGCCGAGGCCGCGCGCCTCGAGCAGCGCGTGCTGTTTGCCCAGGAGCGGCACGGTGAGGCCGACGACGAGGAGGCGCCGCCGCCGCAGACCGGCGACGACTCGGGCGCGTCCGCCGGCGGCGACTCGTCCTCGTCGTCGCCGCTGACGCCCGGCCCGCCCGGGCGCGGCGCCGTCGTCGTCACGCTCGCCGAGGCCTTCCCCAACACGTTCGGGTTCGGCGAGGCGTTCAAGGAGTTCGAGGGCTGCGCCGTCGGCGGCGACGGATACTACCGCCGCGCGTCGGAGCGGGAGCTCGGCCGCCTGGGGAGTGGCCCGTTGAGAGCTCTTTTGGGGCGTGTACGCGTCTGGAAGAGTGGGGATCGCAAGTGCGACATCATCGAGGAGCTGGTTCGCTACGGGACGCCCGCGCACGTCTCCGTCGACCGCGCGAACGGCGATCTCTTCTACGACCGCGCGCCCGTGCCGCCGATCCGCCGCGTCAACCTGCGCTTCGGGGGCATGATCCGCTTCGGCAGCGGCTTCGAGGCCTTCGACGGCAAGCGGCACCCCTTCACCGACGTGCCCTTCGCCCGCGCGACGTACGGCGAGCTCGTGTCGCAGCCGATGAAGTTCTTATCGCTTATGATCGACGCATGCCCAATGAATCGCGAAGAGCGGTCCGCTTTGATCTACGCACCCAAGAAGGAACTTCACGCGAAGTTCCTCGCGTCGCATGGGGTGCCAAATGGCGTCGACCTGAGCCGCAGCCTTGTCATGGATGCTTGCCGTCGGTTTCCTATTGGGTTTTCGACGCAAGGCCATTCGTCGGAAGCGAAGCGCTTCCGTGCAAAACAAATCGCGAATGCATTGGTCTCATCCAAGGGCTCGGCCGAGGCGCGGCTCGAAGGCAAGCCGAAATCGCGAGGTGGTGGTTCCGGTGCCCTCTCGGCGTCGCGCAACGCCGAGCAGAAGCGTCTGATCGCGCTCCTCGCCGATCATCACGCGCGCGTCAACGGCCACGACCATGCCGACGCCCGCTACAGGAAGTGGTGGCACGCGAATTACTGTAACCCGCCGGAGGCGGTCATGTGCTTCGTGTGCAAGTGTATGACGAAGAAACGCGTATTTGAGCACTGGCAGGTCGTGAATTCGGATGGCTCCGTCACGTACTACCACCGCTGCCTCACCTGCTGCCCGAACTGCAACATCGTCACCGTCTGCATCGTCGACAAGCTCGACCTCCCCGCGCAGGACATCGCCGAGGCGCGCGCGCGCGCGCGCGCCGACGCGGAGCGCGTCGCCGCGTTCTGCTACCCCGGCTACACGCCGCCGTCGTAGACGCACGCCCTCCCGCCCCCGCCGCTTGTAAGTGCTGGTCTCCGACGCGTGCGTGGGACTCGATTTGAGATCGACCCCCAGGCTCGTCGGTTCCGGGCGCATGTCGCTGGCGACGGCGGCGCGCGCGCGCGTTCCGGATCCGCGAGTCGGCACGGTGAAGTTCATCGAGGGCCGGCTGTGGCGACTTGCCACCCCGCGCGACGCCGAGCTCGTCGAGGCCTACGGCATGGCGCCCAAGAAGAAGCAGAAGGTGCTCCCGCCCCAGGCGCGGTTCGCGGCCCTCAAGATCGTCGTCATCGACGCGCTCCCCTTCCAGCGCAAGCTCTGGAGCGAGCGCATCGGCGCCGGCTTCGTCGCCGTGACCTCCGCCGACGTCGCGGCTGGCGCGCTCGCGCGGCACGGCGACGCGACGCACGTCGTGTCCTGCGCCAAGGACCGCGCGCTCGTCGACCGCGTCCGCGGCGACGTGGGCGAGGCGACGCACGTCGTCACGGACGAGTGGCTGACGACGACGCTGCGCGCCGCCGACGGCCTCGCGCGCGAGGCCGACTTCGTGTTGCGCGCGCCCGCGCCGCCCGCGACGCCGCCGCCCGTCGCAGCGCCGCGGCGCGGCGTGCTCGCCAAGTACTGCTGCCAGCGGCGCATCACCGTCGAGGGCGACGTCAACAAGGCCGTCACGGGCGCGCTCGCGGACCAGATGAAGTGGTGGGACTACGGCGCCGTGAACGCCGACGAGATCAAGCACTACGCGACGCGGATCCAGCGCTTGCACCGCGTGGCGCCGATCATCAAGTCGTGGCCCGTGACGCTGACGCCCGAGAACTGGGACGACGAACGCGAGAAGCTCGAGGCGCAGCACTACATCTCGGCGACGTCGACGTCGGCGACGGGCGGCTTGATCGAGTACATCGAGCAGCTCGTGCTCGGCGGGCCCTCGGCCGTCGTCCGCGAGGACTGCTTCTACAAGTGGCAGCGCGACCCCGTGCGCCGCGTCGTCTTCGAGATCAACGCGCTGAAGATGCACGTGGGCAAGAAGCGCGCCGTCGACCTCGTCGAGAACCGCGGCGTGACGAGCGCCGAGGACCTCTGCGCGCGGCGCGACGACCCGGCGCTCGCGATCCCGCCGCACGTCCGCCCGAACCTCGCGCTCGCGCCCGTCGGCCCGTCGGCGACGCGCATGGACCGCGAGGAGACGGAGGCGATCCTCGGCCGCTTCGCGGCGGCGGCGGCGGAGGTCGGCCTCGCGTCGACGGCCGTCGGCTCCTACCGGCGCGGCAAGGTCGGCGGCCACGACCTCGACGTCATGCTCCACGCGCCCGAGGGCGCGCCGCTCGTCGCCGTCGCGGACTACGAGTTCCACGACCCTGACGGCGCGGGCTAATCCGCGTCGATTCGCAGCCGCCTCGGCGCGAAGAAAAGCTGATTCGGAAGTCGTACTGTCTCGACTTTCGAAAGTCGAGACACTCAGGCTACGCACTCGGACGGACCATCCTTACAACCGATTTTCCGGCGAGCGACGCGTGGGCCGCCTGCGGTTCGAGAGGCGCCCAAGGGTGGTCAGGCGCGAGTTCTGCCGTTCGGCATGACTTGGCGACCTCGGTTCAGCGCTGCTCGTCGGCCGGCTGGGTCGTCGGCGTGGCCGCCTTCTTGGACTTCTTCGCCGGGTCCGACGCGGTCTTGTCCTTGGACTTCTTCCGCTTCCGGGCCTGCGCGCCCTCCTTGATGTCGGAGAGGAGCGCCCAATCCGCGCCGTAGACCTTGCCGTCGGAGAGGTCGACGTCGCACTTGCCCTCTGGAGGAGGCATCATAAGCTTCACCGCCGGTTCAGCGAGACGAACCAGACGGCCAATCGACAGCGGCAAGGGCATCTTGCCTCGCTCCGGGGCCGCCGTCATGGAGCGCACCGTGGAGCGCCTCGACCTCGACATGACAGGCACGGCGCACGCGAACAAGCCGGCGCCGCCGCCCCAGCGCCAGGAGGACGCTCTTGGATTTCCTACCGCGACGCTTCGACACAAGCAGCGAGTCGCTCAGTACTCGCCCACCGACATCGGCCGTCAAGGCCGGCCGTACAAGCCCTTCCCCGACATCACCTACAAGCAGCTTGCTGTGCTCTACGTGTCCGCGGTCGGCGCCGCGGCCATCGACGCGGCGATGACCGCGTGCTGTTGGACGTCGAGCTTCGTCGAGCTCGATACGTGGTACCGCGGCGCCGACGG